CGTTACGTTACGTTAACGTTACGTTACGTTAACGTTACGTTAACGTTAACGTAACGTAACGTAACGTAACGTACGTACGTACGTACGTACGTCTCTCTCTCTCTCTCTCTCTCTCTCTCTCTCTCTCTCTCTCTCTCTCTCTCTCTCTCTCTCTCTATTTCTATACTTATTTGCTCTATATACCTCATGCTTGAGTTTTTTTTAATATTTAAATGAAGGGTGATCTGTGAAGAATAGGACAGGACATGTATATGTTTGACTGAGACGATATCCTTTATTATCATCTACAATGTAAAATCAAATAAACATCTTTAGTATATTATTGCGAAGAAAGGACTAATGTGTGAGAAGACTCAATTACATAAATGAGTTATTACTCTCAATTTATTTTTATTTTATTTTTTTGAGAAAAGGTTAACTTCTCAAATTTTATTTGAGTAAATTTCTTATAGCCTACTAGAGGATATTTCTAATTTATTAATTTTGCAGCTAAATATTTCTAAGTTTATGATTGATCTCTTTTTAAAAAATTTCTACCCTAACATGTTTATTATATGGGAACACTCATGGTGCTCCTAAACTAGGGAACTCGCTAGAAATGATCCTGCTCCCCCGCCCCCTCCAGCCCTCAAGAACTATTGTTAGTGATTTGTTTATTACATTTCATAAATAATTCAAATCGAGTTTGAAAAAGTATTAAGATTTGCAGGATTGATATGGATAATAAATATCAATAAAAGAAATTTCAAGGTTTTCTAAGTCATAATGGTACTATCCACTAACGCACATGTCCACATATCCACGAACAAAGTGGGGTCGTAGAATGTGAGAACTGACAATATTCTAGAGATGACTTGTCCTTTACTTCTGCAATCCAATGATCTTAGAGGCTTGTAGGACAAAGCCATTTATGACTCTTGCTCACCTCATCAATAGATTCTCTACCAGAGTTCTAGTTAGTGTTTCACCGGTTTAATGTCCGACTGATCAGAAACTATATTATGCATTGTGCAGTTTTGGACGTACTTGTGGTATCCAAGCCTTTACCAAAACTCTCATCACTGGGTTTCAAACACAGATCAAGGGATCTTTTGTCGCAAATGCCACCAATTAGGCCACTAACAAAGAGCAACAGATAGTTTCTAACCTTCCAGAGATCTTCCACCATATAGACATTAGATGACTAAGGATAAAAAATTTCATGCAGTTCAGACGGTGAATCGGTTTGTTCAGCAGTCTAGATCTTCACAAATGACATCAGTTTATTATATTGCCATATATGTTTGTGCTACTGTCAGTAAAGTATTGTTAATGTCATCCACTTCTAGGCTTTAGTTGATGCCCACACAGATTCTGAGTAGGACAGCTGTCCTGATACTCACACATCTGGATATCCTATTCTCTTGGGAGACTCACTTGTCTCTTGGTGAAGCAAGAAACAAAATGTAGCCTTTAAGATCAATGCTGAGGCAGAATACAGAGCAATGTCCATAGCCTTTGATGAGATTTGCAGCTTCTTTGCGATTGATTAACTTGGGGACACAAACGGTTCAGTTACTTCTCTGAATGGCACTAACATCAATACTGTCAATAATGCTAGAAGTACAGTATTTCATGACAAAACAAAGCACATTGGGGTTGATTGTCACTCCATTTAAGAGAGATACTAGTCAATGGTGTTCTTTTCTATAATCCAATTTGTTGATTTGTTTAATGCAGTTACCAGACAACAACATGACAACTTAGGAAGCTAAGTGCTGCAATAAATATGCCAGTTTTAGCGGGGTGGTTGATCTATATGTGTATATATGGATTTATTTGTATATAAATATTTGCGTAGGCATATTGTAGTCTATGTACCCTAGATGTCAGTGCAAAAGAGACAGTCCCTACACTGTAATGACTCAATCAGTTAATGAGAATCAGTCTTACTCTGCCTCTACAAGGGCCTCAATAAATCCTGACACTACTGATATTATGCCCACACAAGAAATCCGAGATGAAACATAAAGTCCCAAATCTAACAGCAACATCCAAAGACGCTATTCACCCAGAGCTACTGATTTGTATTTGTATCCCTTAAGTCACATGGTGTGACTAAGAGGGGTACTCTGTCCATGTGTTTCTTAGGCAAACATTTAATATAATCCATGAACTGAAACCACATATTCATGAATTGTTAATGAAGCAAACATATAACTTCATTATCAAACCACATAACAAAATACTTCATGAGGATGCTAGCTAAGCTTTAAAAATGCCAGAATTTGTTATCAACAAAATCCATGGAAAATACAAAACCACAGGTCTCACAGGCACACAAATTTAAGGACAACTTACCGTTTGCCCAAGTATCCATACACATACCGCTGTAGCTCCATCATGCCATCCTCCTAGAAAGAAAATGACAAAACTATCACAAAAATTTTAAGGAAAAAAAAAATGTATATATATATATATATATATATATATATATATATTGATTGTTAATTTCAAGATTGATAGCCAAGAAGTACCAAAAAGAGATTATTTTCGATATTTTGGCTCGATAACCTTTGAGAACGAAGAGATTGAGGAAGATGTTGTGCAATAGAATTAGAACTGAGTGGAAGAAATGGAGATGTACTTCAAGAGTTTTATACGATCGTCACATAGCAATGAAACTGAAGGGAAAGTTCTATAGGACGGTTGTAAGACTAGGCATGCTTTATGGAATGGAATGTTGGGCGGTCAAGAAACAACATATCCATAGAACAAGTGTAGCTTAGATGAGTGCCAAGACAAGAAAGGATAGACTTCGTAACGAATACATCCAAGGGAACATAGAGGTAGTTCCAATAGGCTATAAGATGAGGGAAAGTAGACTTCAATGGTCTAGCCTTGCGCACCATCAATCTAGAACAACACCAGTTAGGAGGGGTGATTTGGTTCAGGTGGAATGCTCAGAAAGGGCAAAGGGAAGGCCTAAAGGACATAAATGGAAGTAGTGAGAAGAGATATGATGACTTATGGCCTGATTGAGGGTATGCTTGGATAGAGCAGAGTGGTAGAACAAGATTCCTGTAGCTGACCCCAAATAGTACGGAGAGGATCAGATGATCACGATTGTTAATTTCAATAATTTTCAATTTCAAATAGTCAAAACATCAACCACATTGACATTGAAAATTATAAGCAAAAGGATAGAAAAAATCTAATTTCAAACTATAAGTAAATATGACAATGCAAGGAAAAGTTAAGACTAATAAAGCACACATCCAAATTCCGATGTAAAAATGATTTAGGTGCTCCAATTTGGTTACTAATATATGCATCATCTTGTGGTTGTATCCAAATATTCTTTCATGTAAGTATATCAAATGTAATAGATGACACGAAATGAGGTAAGCATCGGAATATTGTACATTTCCATTTCCACAACAACATAAGTCCAAATTTAGAACCATATATTTCTTTGCACTCGAACAAGGTGTACTTTGAACAACAAGGAAAAAATATCAATAAATATTTTATTCAATTGAACCATATATTGATAAGGTACAGCAAAAAAGCATAGATCTTTCTTTTTAAATAGTAAATTTACCGTGTACTTAGTTATTACAGTATTCATCATCAATATCCAACCCTTATCTTAACTATTTGGGGTCAGCTACATGATTCTTGTTTCGTCTTTCTACTCTATCAAAGGCTATACCCTCAGATAGATTAGAAAACGAGAATCCTTAACAAAGGTTATAGACTATACCAATGACAGATACCATGATTAGAGGTTCTACAAAGAGATGCATTAAGTTGTATGACATTTGCCAAAGGGCAGTGTCATCTACCCTATTTGTACATTGTTCTACCATTTTAGTCACTAGTACATATATTTTTATATCTCTAGTAGATGGATAAACAAACCAATATCAATAAAAGGAGAGATAATGTACATGTTCGAAATAAAATAAACTAAAATACAAAATCCTAGGCTCCTAAAGTAGTATAAAGGTCCATGGCAACAAGTTGAGTTAGTGAGGAATGGATTCAAGGCTAGGTGGTCAAAGGTGGGATCACCATAACATGACGTCTTGAATTGCATTCCTATCACGGGTAGGGGACCTCATCCCCACTGAACTACTCAAAAAAACAAAAAACATAAAAAAAGGTTGAGTTAGTGAGCCTGTCAGTGACTATAGCTGCAAGTTGCAACGAAATCATAAAATTAGAAGCACAGCCAGACCAATAGCATCAATGCCTTACTAAGAGTACCCCAGGCACTTCGTGTGCCAACAAAAAGGATTGAGTGTAGTTGTTGGACATAGCAATGTTTTGCTACTTGCAGGAGAGCTCAGCATCCTACAGCACCCCTTTGAGCTGGCCACCAGCTAGCAACCCCTTATATCCCACACAGTTGCAATTAAGAAAAAGCCAGCACCCAACAGGCTCATTATGAATAGGCAAGAGAAGGATGACAAAGCCTAGGCCTACCTGGAGAATGCAGCAAGGGGGATAAAGAAGTGGGAGAAGAAGGCCTGCTAACTTTGAGGTTGGGGACATGGAGATGTTAAATTCTCGCCCCACCAACTGAAGGTTACAGGAAAGCACACAAAAGACTACAAACAGATCTACAACGGACCATTCCTGATTATTGGAAGTTATTGCATTCAGCTACCCAAGGTGTTGAAGCATCATCTCATTTTCCACGAGTTGTCAGTTGCCTAAGCTCCTAAGGACCACAAGGATGAAGTACAGAACCAGTCAACCTGAGCACCTTCCAACACAGGAAACTTCATTCGATGAGGAGGTCCAATGCATCTTGGCTGCCGTCACAAGCAACAGTCAAGGCTCAGGTAGCTACGAGGAGTACATGGTGAAGTGGGAAGGGACTCTTGGAGAGCAAGTGAGGTGGAGCAGGTAAGAGATCTTTAGCAGTTCAGGCAGCAAATGAAGGACTGCTTTGAAGGCAACTGACATGTCTAGAAAGCTTAGCAAAGAAAATAATAGTTAGTGATAGGATCAATCATTATATTATTTTTTTCTAAATTATTATTCACTTGCATGTAAACTATTCAATTCATATGAGAGATGACTTGCATATTTGATTGATCATTTGGCACTGGGTTCTTAACCATTTTGTTGAAGGCATTTATTGTATCACATCCACCGAATTATCATTAGAATGAATAAACTGTCAAATTGCAAAGAAAGCTACCCAATTGTTCTTAATCTGAGCCCAGGGGCAAGGAGAAAGAGAGAGAATTAATCCATGCAACTAGAAAAGAGAGATGGACCAAAAACTAAACTCATTCCATGGACCATACTGCTTATCAGGAGGACCATATGCAATAACATATACCCAACTTCTTTTCATTTGAAGATGAGAATTAACTAAATACTCAAATGGAAAAACTACAAGAATAACAATCACGAATCTAATCAAATCCAGACACCCATGAATAAATGGTATTAGAATGATGCAAGGAAGCAATGCAATGGTAGCCAGTAGTATCAACATATAAACACAATCCTTATTTCTCTGTAATGCTCTATTTTGTTACTAACTAAACCCACATTTAAGACTCTAAGTAGTTTACCTCACAAGAGTACCAACCAAATAAATTGCATTTTATTGCAGTTTCATATATCAGAAGATAATTTCAACTATTTATAGCTCGATTCGACTAATAATTAGTAATAACAGAATGCCAGTTTCAAGCAAAATAGCAACATATGAACTACCAATTACCGATTACATCCAGTAGTGTACTACCTGTAGCACTCTCCTTGAGTAATGACTCATCAGTTTTCTGGAATCCTGAAAGGAATGATTAATTGGGTTGCCAAAAAGCCCACATACTTGGAGCAAATATATGCAGTGAGAAAAAGGAAACAAATACTGGTCCCCCATGGAGACATTTTAAAAGACCCAAACCTATAATTGTCAAAGGAAAACAGATGTAGACAATAAACATCATGGACATTTTCCTTAGCATTGATGAGTATACGGAAGCCCTACGTAAAGAAAATACTGAACTACAAATACTATTCAGCATGCTTCTATAACAACAATAACACAATAGGTGGCTCAACAATAACAAACAATCCATATATAGGTGAACTGGTATCCATTTGAATCATATCACAGATTAACCATTTCAAAGGAAGCTTTCACATGCTTCACAATGGTTCTACGAATTAATAACGCAGAAATGGACATTAGCATGCAGACAGTATATGTGTTAAAATATTTTTTAACTATATATTTCTCATTTAGTTTATTATAACCTATATGTCCTTTTCTCAGTTTGTTTGGGTCGTTTTGTCTTTTTCATTTATTTCATTAATATAAAAAGAGTTGATAGGTTCATGGGACTCAATTGACTCTCACATAACTCTCTTCTTTCCATCTTCATCTCTCTCTCTCTCTCT